TCTAGACCTGTGGAAGACCATTTGAGAACACCCATCGAAAATGTGACAATGGGGGCAGCGTATGTGTTGATGGCAACCGTGAGGTTTCCATCCAGTCGGTTCGTGAACTCAATTTTTAGAGTTCATTTCAGCTTGTGATGTGCTCTCATACATCCCTGTTGTATACCAAGCTAATTCATTGGCTTTCAGAGTATATAATATCTCTCCACTGACAGTCTCTTCATTGTCGAATTTACCCTTCTGTATTTAATGTTCTTTAACTTTGCACTTATCAATATGCATACCAATGTCTCTAGAATACTCTTCAATGGTTTTTATTTCCATGTCTAGGCCACGCATCGTACCTGAGTAGAGTTTAATGTCATCCTCATAGGCTAAGTGCGTTATACCGGTCTTCTCAGGGCCTTTCAGTTCGAATCCTGTTTGTAGGTCTTGCAGAAGTGTTGAGAGTGAGTTTATGGCTATACAAAACCAGTAAGGTTTTGTATCCGACTGCCATCGTAGAAAATGTCACGCCTTATGTTTATTTTGTTGATGATCATTGTTCCATTTTTGCCGCGACACTACTGAAACACAACTGAACTAAAAATAAAATTATTCTCAAAACTCATATTCAAATTATTCTTTTCACAGATTGAAGGTCAAAGCAGCGATTAAGACAAACGAATTTCGGGTTTTGAGAATACAAGAAGTATTTTCAAGAAGTATTTTCAAAATAAAAATATATAATTTACCGTTCAGAATATATTTGCGATACGGTGGAAATAAATTACAAAAATAATAACAATGCATATTTCAAATACAATTATTATTGATACTTCCCAACTCTACCTAAGTACTTTTCTTCTCTAAATATTCTAGAATCTTGATTTTTTAAAACTAGTGGTTTAAAGCGCACATACTTTCTCGCATTATTGGTAACTTGCAATTTTCGAAAATTGAGACAGTTCAATAAAAATCGAACCGACGCTATTTTATCAGCGTAGTTTGTCCCATCCGACAAAAATGAAGAAAATTGGAAAAATGAAAGAAAAAAGAAAATGCCCTTGCGACTCCAAGTAAAGTATCCCCAAAAAACAAAATATACATTTCAAATTCAAGGGGCATGCCATTCTTCAGATCAGTGAGGGAATATCAGTTTTGGTGAAAATCCTGCTTAAACTTCAACTGCTGGCTTTGTTCACAGACGGCTCGGCAGACAGTCGGAAAGATAGTCGGACGGATAGGACAGACGGACTGACGGTCAACCAGACGGGCAGAGGAGGAGAGATAGACAGACCGACAAACAGGCAGGCAGACATTTGGCCATAAACGTTTGTTCCGTATGAGGGACCCACAGAAAGTGGATTTTGAATAAACAGTGATGTACAGTACAAGGAAGTTATTTACTACTTATCGGAACGATAATTATCCAATTTTCGGTTTCCGGAACACACAAAACGAGTTTTTCTGTAAAAAATTCGCTGATTTTTGATGCAGCATTACTATTTTTTCTTTTTACTGCGTAAGTAGTACCCAAAAAAGTAAAATATACAAAAATGGAAACTGCTGTGCATTTTATGAAACTAAAAAATTAGAAAAAAAGTCTCGTTACATCAGTTATCTTATTTTAATAGCTTCAACGCATTTCGATCGCTTGACACTCATTAGCGCTCATTAACAAGCACTTGACGAAAGAGCATTGTTGTAGGATCACCTTAATGGTGAAATTTTGTGTTATCGAGATCACATAAAAAAACTAGAATTTTGTGACGAGGTGTTCAACTTTTTCATTGTGACATGTGTTTTGAGGCAAGATTGTACTGCATAATCCAATAACTTCAAAATGTCAATTATACAAATATTCTGCCAATTTTCATGCATAATATATTAAAGAATTACCATCCAATATTTTTATTTATTTTAATAAAATCTTCCATATAAGGTTTTAGTTGTATCTTTATACAATTGGTTTAGTTGTATAAGTTTATTATCATTTAACGAAGTACGTATTATAAATTGGCACTTTATTTTTTTCATTACATTTACATACGTTGGCAATTGCTACAGTGATATAGACTAAGTGTGACATTAGTTTGGTAAACGACCTCTAACTTGCATTGTGAGTTAACATTTTATGGGTGATTTTTTTTTCATTATTTGCAGAACAACAAAATAATTATCATTACAACAGTGACTGTCTGGTAGTTGTGGTTCTTACCCATGGAGGAGAAAAAGGAAGGCTGTATGCAAAAGACACTTTTTACACAGTTTCTGAACTATGGGCACCATTCATGGCAGATAATTGTTCAGCACTGGTAGCTAAGCCCAAGATCTTCATCATTCAGGTACTTGCTGTCTTCTTTTTTGTACTCAAGTCTCAAAAACGGCTCCAATTTTTTCTTTAAACATTTTCTACAGAAAGAGCTCATTGATTTCAATTATACTACGTAAGTATCATTGTCATTGAAATTTTTTAGTTTTCAAAAACTTCATGTTATGTATTTTTTCGATCATCTGGCGCATCGTTAACATTTACATTATCGATGTGTTATGGCTTGACGCATTTATTTAATGGACGTTTTTGATCTCGAGAATCGCTATCCCTATTGTTTTATTACAAAGAGATGAATTATGAATAATGGTACCAAGAAAAGTTGTTGGAAACATTTGAAAACTATAAATGTAAAAATTTACAGGATTTCTTTTTGTTGCTTTTTCTTATATTGAAAGACTGAATTTGTGTAGAGATTTTTATGTCTTTATTTATAGTTCTACATTTGGCGGATGTATGGAAGGACAAAAATAATTTAATTAAGTTCGTATACACATTCGACAGTGAGTTCTGTCATTAATCTTTCTGAAAGAGACAAAATTGTGTAAAATAATACATTATTCGAAGTAAACGCTCCAATCGGAAACGTTGGTGAAGACGAAGCCACACATTAGTTTAATAATTGTATCAAATGAATGCAGCTGCTATCTCACCTATTAGAAGTTCGGATCCACTGGATTACTATCTGGCAGAGTTTTGAGGCGATATCCTGCCAAAAATGACACCGCAATAACGAGGGGTAAAATAAAAACTGTCAAGTGTGTTTTCATTTTTATCTGTCAACAAAAGTCAGGCTTAATCACACACTTATGTGTACACACACACACACATATTATATATATATAATATTTTTGAAACAACAAAAGAATAGAGCAATGTGGCGTTTATTTCATCTTATAGAGTGCATTTAGCACAATCCCTATAAAAAGTTTAAAGAAAAAAGTTGAAGCCGTTTTTGCGAAAACCTTGTTTTTGTACTTTAAAAAATGCTCTTATTGCTTGCAATATTGCGCGAAAACTACAAAAAGTTTCAAAAAATGTACATGGCCTTAATGAAAGAACTAAATATAGAGAACAAATTTTATTAGAAGCAATAAACTCCCGTGAAAATCGGACCTATGCCACTTTTATAAGTATTTTGCTGTATTCTTAGAAGAAATTTAAATTAGAAATTAGCGGTGGCCCTTTGCCCTGGTGCTTGGCGCGGCGTGGTCAGACGGCGCGATCAGGCGACGGCTGCGACGGAAGGCGGCGTGAAGTTCACGGGCGCCAACGCTGGTCCGGGTATCGGCGGTGCGGTTCGCGGCAGCGGTAGTTGCGCCTCGGCCCGTTGTCAGTCCTGGGCTCGCGGTCGGGCATCCACAGTCATGGTCCGTGGCGTTCGTCCTTCAGTTAGCACCCCAGAGGCGACCCGCGATGTGGCGATGATGCATTCGGGCGGCGGCGATGCGGTAATGCATTCACTGGCGTCCC